CCTCTGGTCCCTTGGTCCTCTGGTCCCTTGGTCCTCTGGTCCCTTGGTCCTCTGGTCCCTTGGTCCTCGGGTCCTTCGTCCTGGTCTTCGGGTGCTTGGGTCTGTACTTTCGAGGCAAGACGCGTTAAAGGTGATTTGGAAATCTGGTCATACATCCTGTGAAGCACCGTAGCAGACCTTTTATCGCCAGACGTAGCACACCTTTTTTGTGAGCCACCCTGAAGGTAAAATTTAGACGAAGAAAGTGCCATTCCAAGGTAGCAAACCTTTTGTGAGCCACCTGAGGGCAAAGTTTTGAAGTGCGCCTGCCATGAAATCTGCAGTTCCGGTGCACAAAGTGCTGCGCCTGCCACGAGCCCTGCAACTGAAGGTGCTCAAAGTGCTGCGTACAAAGTGCCGCTCCTGCCACGAAACCTGCTACATGGAGGTGCTCAAAGTGCTGTGCCTGCCACGAAATCCGCACTTCCAATGCGCGAAGTGCCGCTCCTGCCACGAAACCTGCTACTGGAGGTGCTCAAAGTGCTGCGCCTGCCACGAAATCTGCAGTTCCAGCGCACAAAATGCCGCGCTTGCCACGAAATCTGCTACTAGAGGTGGTCAAAGTGCTGCGCAGGCCACGAAATCTGCAGTTCCAGTGCACAAAGGGCCGCTCCTGCCACGAAATCTGCCACTGGAGATGCTCAAAGTGCTGCGCGCGCCACGAAATCTGCGCATCCAGATTCACATCGCGCAGCGCTGCCAAGGCGGTTTGCAGTGGCAGGCGCAGCTCTTTGTGAGAGATATTTTGTTTTTTTGATACAAATTAATTTTCTTTTTGATAGGATATAGAAATTTTCTTTTTGATATATATCAATTTTCTTTTTGATAGCCCGGCCCCGCGGGAGTGGAGCGGCAGCTGCCCGTAACAACCAAAGGAGCAAAGCAGCGGACATGGCTATATTTACTGCTATATTTAAGCAGCGGACATGTGCCAACGCCTTGCAATAAGCCCGTCCGGACCAGGTCGGCGCGAGGTATGGCTGGAAAAAAAAAATTTCACATATTTATACTGACTCTTCAAGTCGCGTCAGTCCTGATGCCGCCCGGCTGCAGTTTGTATAACAAGCCGACCAACGCCCTGCCATCACCAAAAAGGGACCTCCACCTTCCCCCCCAATTTTTTTTTCCGAGGGCTCGGGCTTTATGCTCTGCACCCAAGCACCGCCGCGCCGGCTGCGGGGCAAGCAAAGCAGTTCGACCGCGTGATAAAATTAGACAGTTGCGGGCCCAAGCCGACCCGGCCCATGAGTATGTCGGATCTCGGACATTGCTATGTCGGACAGTGAGGTCTCAGACATCAATGTCTCAGACAGTGTGGTCTCGGACATGAGGAGCTCGGAGTGTAAGGTCTCGGACGCGACTATGTTGGTCTGAGATAGTATGGTCTCGGACACTCATGTCTCGGACAACAATGTCTCGGACTGTCCGAGACATTCACGCCCGAGACCTCACTGTCATTGATGTCCGAGGCTTCACTGTCCGAGACATTCCACTCATGGTGTGTGGATGTGTGCGTCTAAGCACTGGTCAGTGCGCAGGTCTCGGGGGAGGAGTAAGCTGTGAAGGCGGACGGTCAGAGGGTAGGTTTCTGTCAAGATGGTAGTGGTTCGGCAGGGGACGTGTGCCACAGCAGCCGGAAAAGCAGGGAACACCAAGCCGAGGACTGTCAGGAGCAAGAAACGCAGACAGAGTATCTTTTTGCATCACTGTGACACAAGGCGGAGGTTATTAGGACAAAGAAAGAGGACTGCCTTAAGGGATGGCTTGGCGAGGAGGTATTCGTCTGTCAGTGGTCAGTCGTTCCATCATCGCAGAAAGGAGCTACAGAAGACACTGCCAGCCTTGTTGATGGAGGCGGGGAGCGGTCCTGTTGGGACATGTTCCTGGGATGCCATGCCAAAATGAAAACGTACAGGTGGTCATTACGCTACGAGGTAGTGTACTGGCTGAAGCCATGCTACGTGGCTTGAGACTTGAAGGCAGTCATTCATAGGTTCATAAAGCAGCCACTGGCAACAACAATGAGCAAATCAAATCATAAATGTAAACAGGCTTTTCGGTAAACAGTCGCACCGGTGCGAACTGCTGTTGGTTGAAGCCCGGGCCGCGGGCGCGTCTACGACGTGAGCAAAATGTAATAATGTACGAGGATTCATTTCAATGCGCACCCTGTAGGGCCAAGCCATGTTCAGCCGGGCTTGAGCGCAAACTGGTCGAGGCAGAGAGCGCGCGCGCTACCCATTTGACTCGTTGTAGTGAGCGTGGAGCAGAGGATGGTAAATTCAACTTGTAAGTTGTTGTTCCTTTTGGGTTGTTGGCTTTTCTAGGTCTCGCAATCGCAAGTAGCTTTTAAGTCGATATTAACTAAGAACTACCGTTTATAAGTGTTAGTCAGTTTTGACGTATACTTTTTCAATATGCTCGCCTGTCTGTTCTTTTTGCGCGAAGCCAGCCGGCGGTCAGTGAACTATATACAGATCCGGCTACGGAATAAAAACGCAATTATACTCAAGTGCTTGGATGTTCTTGGTATTATATTTGGGGGGTGGCCGACGAAGGGCCGACGTGTCGAGATATATATGTTCTCTATACGATCCTTTTTATCAAAGGAAGTTTAGTGTGCAAAACTTCCGTGTTACGGACATTCAACAGCTGTTCAACCCACCACTCATCATACACCACTCATTCAACAGCTGTTCAATCCACCACTCATCATACACCACTCATCATCCACCACTCATCATACACCACTCATCAGCCAAGAGCTCTAGCTCCAGTTAGCTCTAGTTGCAAGAGCTCTAGCTCCAGTTAGCTATAGTTTCAAGAGCTCTAGCTCCAGTTAGCTCTAGTTTCAAGAGCTCTAGCTCCAGTTGGCTCTAGTTTCAAGAGCTCTGGCTCCAGGTAGCTCTAGTTTCAATAGCTCTAGCTCCAGTTAGCTCTAGTTTCAATAGCTCTAGCTCCAGTTTGCTCTAGTTTCAATAGCTCTAGCTCCAGTTAGCTCTAGTTTCAAGAGCTCTAGCTCCAGTTAGCTCCAGTTTCAACAGCTCTAGCTCCAGTTTACGTGGCAGGCGCACCGAAACGACGCGTGACGTTTATATATTAGGTTTCGATTCTGGATTGCTTTTTTGATCACATTTTGGTAACATTTTTGTTGCTTTCTTCTTGCTTTTGGTATCCAAATATTTTAAGCACATCACCTTTGTGCTTTCTGCTCACCTTTCCGCTCACTTGAGCGGAAAGTGATCTGTCCCCTATCCTGCACTTTGAGATTGCTTTTTCGTTTGCTTCAACTCCTACTCCGAAATCACTAAAAGAGGATATTTGGCCACCCTCAGCGGTTGGCTGGACTCCATCTCTTAATTGTAGTACACTGGGGAGCTGGAAGCTGAGAACTGGCGACTTTGTAGTACAACTTTAGTATGCGGAGTATCTGGGGAGCTGGAAGACGAGAACTGGCGACTTTGTAGTGCAACTTTAGTGCGCGGAGCAATCTGTGGAGCTGGAAGCTGAGAACTGGCGACTTTGTAGTACAACTTTAGTACGCGGAGTATCTGGGGAGCTGGAAGATGAGAACGGGTGACTTTGTAGTGCAACCTTAGTGCGCGGAGCAATCTGTGGAGCTGGAAGCTGAGGACTGGCGACTTTGTAGTGCAACTTTAGTACGCGGAGTATCTGTGGAGCTGGAAGATGAGAACTGGCGACTTTGTAGTACAACTTTGGTACGCGGAGCAATCTGTGGAGCTGGAAGCTGAGAACTGGTGACTTTGTAGTACAACTTTAGTGCGCGGAGCAATCTGGGGAGCTGGAAGATGAGAACTGGCGACTTTGTAGTACAACTTTAGTACGCGGAGTATCTGGGGAGCTGGAAGACGAGAACTGGCGACTTTGTAGTGCAACTTTAGTACGCGGAGCAATCTGTGGAGCTGGAATCTGAGAACTGGCGACTTTGTAGTACAACTTTAGTGCGCGACTTTGTAGTACAACTTTAGTACATCAGGGAGCACAGACCTTGCACAGGTGGCGCTGTGTTGGTCAAGCGTCCGGAGTGCATGCGTCTGACTGAGGGACACGAGGGACACACACTCCAAAAGGTCAATTTGTTCTTATAGGAAACTTCCGCCGCCGGCTTGCCCGGGAACTACTTGTACTTATACCAGGCCGGCATGATGGCTGATTTACGCCAAACCCAAAATCCTATAGAGGTCGCCAACAAAGAGCCAACAACCTAAGTCGATGGCGGAAAACAAAATACCATCCTCTGAGTATACATCGTCTGTCATTCGGTTATGAGTATAATTTAAAACATATATATATATATTTACAGACCAACAGCAGGTGCCTTCCAGACGCGCGCGCTTTATAGCAAATGAACTCTATTCTGCAGAGACTATATCACCATTAGTTTTGTTTCCCAAAACAACAGGCTTGCTAACTATGTTTAACTTCAAAAACAAGTAGCTGTAAATTTTCTTATCTAAGGTGTATCTTCTCTGTAAAGCAGTTGCGTATAGTTTTTTGACAAGTTATATCTAACATCTTCTGCAGGCTGTTTTAAATTCATTCAAAAGTAGACACGCTTAACATTCGTGAAACATACATACCAGAACTTGTTGAAATAGAAATTAATATTTTCAATCCTCATGTCAACCTCTAGTTTCACAGCTGAAGCTACAAGTATTTCAACCATATCTTCTTAAGAATATATATAGAAGATGGTGCCCGATGGCCAGAATGTCAAGACACGTGGGTTCTGTTGTGCTTTTGTTCGGGTGCGTGTCATGATGCAATGAATCCACCAAGAAAATATCGATCAGTCGATTTGGGTCGAGCGCCCCACAGGCAAGACGAGGCTTGGCGACGCTGCGTGACGCGGTCGGGCGCGGAAAGCGCGCAAACCAGGGCACTGCTCCGAACTGGCAAAGACAACATTTCACGTCTAACTGGGACCTCCGACGGGCCTCTGCCAGAGCCTGCCGTTCCCGGAAAAACTTTTGCCCATTTAAACGGCGCTACCAGTTTCCCGGAAAGGGATGCGGGGCGAACGAGCGTGGGAACGAGCGCGGGGCAGCGGCAAAGATATACCCAAGCTGCAAGAAGAGTGGAAGAGGCCTGTGCCAGATCACATCCGCTGGGGGAACCCCGCCACTGGAGGTTTTCCTTTGAGGAGCAACTTGTGTGGGGGTTACGTTTTGCTGGTCTGTTGCAGCCAGCCGGCCCCGACGACTCCGACGATTGAGTCTCAAAAAGAAGCCCAGTTGCGTTACGTGCGCGGCCCGGAACGAGATTAGACTTTGCGTACTCAGGCCTTTGTTCACAACTTTCTTATGTCGTGTTGCCTCACCTGCGACTCAATGAATGTAACCCATTTGAAACCACATGGGTTCATGCGTGTTCATGCCATCAGTCAGAGTCGTTTGCTCCACCCACTCACACTGGCGCCTCGTTCGCTCGATGACAAGCATCGTATTGCATCAGCGCAACGCAACGGATGCCTTGGAAGTATCGACGCACGGATTTGTGCGTGATGAGGCCAGACACAACGGATCAGAGCGACGCCCAGAAGAAAGACTGACGGGGTTTCAGAGGCCAAATTTGTAATGAGAGGCTTCGGTTATAAGTAGTGAAGCAGTCAGCAACTAATTAGCTGCAGAACAACTTCAATTGCTCTCAAAGCCATGTCGCAGTGACGATGGCTTCGCCACATCCCTTTCTTTGCAAGTCCCGAGCCTCCTAAGACTCTGGCGTGCCCAGCACCACCGCGGAAACATCACCGTGAAGCGCGACCAAAGCAACACTGCCCTTGAGCCCACGGCAGACACCACAAAACCCAAATTATTGAGACAATGTTGTTAGTATTTGCTTTTTCAATGAAGCAACATGGAGAACGGGCCTAAAAGATAATATGGCGCTCTTCCCCAAAGACTTGCGCTCACCATCCAACCCCAGGACTACCCGAGCGGCGAGTTCAATTCGAGCGTGTCTCGTTTTCGTGAGAATTTTCTGCTGTTTCCAGCCAGTGAAGTAGCGTGGGAAGCGGGAACACCGATAAGAATAGAACGGACTGAAGCATCGCAAAAGTGGCGACCAAACGAGCGTGATGATGAGTGCTGCAACATGAACACAACCGAGCTGTTGGCGCCAAATGGTGACGACCAGGTGGTTCCAACAAGCGCTTCAATTTTGCAAGAAAGCCAAGGGTTTGTGAAGGGTTTGCAGGAAGTCCAGTTTGGTTTGGCTCTTCGAGCGTTCCTTCCTTCCTTCCTTCCTTCCTTCCTCTTTGAAAGCCGTGCCATGAGCTTTTGATGTCATAGACAGGCAAGTCTACTACGACAAGATCCCTCCAAAGCTAGACCAGCTGAACTTGCGTGCCAAAGGATTTACCAAGGTTAGGCGTGCCTTACTACTGGGGTCCATGTCGAAGTGTCCACCTCATTGGTTTGCGAGCATGCGACTGTGGAAAACTGTGGTTTTCTACAAGCCCCTGTTTTGAACGATTATCCGCAGCTTCTGTGTTTTAGCCTTCACAGGATTAATGGGTGTCCCTCTCTCCGTTGATTTTTTGGTTGATTTCGCAACATTCTTGACACGCAGCCGTGGCTTAACAAAGATTTTTTCCGACTACAACACCTTTCCTTGAAGGGTCTGGTCGAGGCTAGTGCCAAGGCGAACAGATTGTCAGCCCAGGTTGACGAGGAGGTCGAAAGCGAGATGACTTCAGAGGGTGGCTGCTTGGCTGGTTACGGATGGGCTCGGAGGGACCAGGAAAGCTCCAAGGGGATCAACTGTTCTATTTATTTTGGACACTACCAAGCGATGTTCTTTGCCCTTTTGGAGAACACCGTTCGAGGCATTCCAGGCACTGACTTTTGGTTGTCCGGGGTCAAGACAACCATCCGATGGTCAGGCTTGGAAAGGACGAACTTTGGGAACAACGATGATCTTCTACATAGAGTTTGACTCGACACTAATACGTGTGAACAATTCAAAATTAACACATTGAAACTTGTCATGCTACACTGAGATGTGCCGCAAGAACTCCTCTTCCTGGAAGAGCTAGCTCTGTGGCTCAGCGTGGATTTGCCACACCACTTATACCAAAGTCGTCCGAAACTTCTTTTGGTGCAGACTCCGCTTGCCTCCTGCACATTTTTATGCGAGAATGAGCACCCAAAGGACCCAAAAGGATCCGATTCATCCGCCAAATTCCTTCGTTTCTCTCTAAAAGGGTGCGCGGTCTGGGTGAAGCTCTGATCTCCCAAACTGAACGCAGAGGCAGAACGATTGGACCGTGTTGGACCTAAAGCAGTGGCGGTTCACTCCGGCTTGGCGGAATTCCAGGGGCTTCCGGGGGCCAGGCACTCACTTTTGCACACCTGTTGGGTGAGAAGGCTCACTTCCGCGAGCAGGGTTCTAATCTTGAATAATCCTTTGGGTATGCTACATCATCATTTGCATTATGTAGACAACGGCTACAGGCTATAGGCATGAAGAGATGCAGCTTCTGCACATGTTAGAACATACATCATATATGTATATAGTTCTTCTTTGGTCTTTCCTTGCCTCATTCGCAGCGATCACAATTGTACCAAACAACACAGTTGGACGTTGATGAGAACGAGGAGAAGGAGGAGAAGGTGTTGTCCATTAGATGTAGAACATGTTGGCTTTTTGGAGATCTTCGAGCCAAGGGAGGCAGAACATACTCGCCAGGATCCGTCCAGGGCATTCACCGTGGTGCCGGTCCCGACATCCCCAAATCCGTGTCTCGTGCCGAGTACGGCGAGTCCAAGCGTCCCAGGTGGAGAGCTTGACGACAGCGGAGCTGAAGATGAGCCCTACTAAATGAGCCCGGTCGAGCGCGAAGGGGCCAGCCGCTGATGGAGCCCTTGCACGGAGCAACGCTCCGAATCCCCCACCTTTTCCTATTGAGGTCACTAACAAGAAGCTACTAGTAACCAGGGCATCGCTACGAACGGAGCGATCGGACGTAGCGACTTGTCGGCATTCAGGTGAGTCACATGACCCCGAAACTGTTGGTGAAATCCCTCCAACAGTTTCCTGAAAAAAACAGTCCTACACATCTCTTCCACGGGGAAGTTGAACAACTATGAACAACTTGTTCATGTTCCAAGCTCATCTCAGTGCCGTGTTCTGGGCAAAGTGCTTGGGGAATCTTGTCAAATCTTGTCAAACTGGAGTTCTGAAGTAGTATGGAGGCTAACTCCAAGACCCCTTTTCAAAGTCAAAGGAAACAACACATTTGAATGAACCTGCTTTGGCCTTGGGCCACCAAGCCACTAAGCACTGAAAGGTCATTTTTCCCAACCTGTGCCCTGCTGGGCAACAAAAGGGGGCCTTTAAAGAAGATGTAATTTCATGTAATTTCCAGTTCCAAGCAGTGGAACCACTATTGTTCAGAACGAGTCTGCATTGCTGTAGAGGTGTCCTTCAAGAACCCTTGGCTTCCAGCAACCCCCGAATTGTTTGGTCTCAAAACCATAATGACTTTCAGGTAAACGGTCAGAACTGTTTGTTTTTGGTCTGTGAATATCAATGTTGGGCTTGTTGCGGCCTTGCGGTTTCAGTTCGGCTGAAGCACCGGCCGACTCTCGTTCACACCGAGAGAGCCGGAAGAGGCGAAACCGAAAAGGCAGATCGGTGTCATCCGAGAAAGCGAAAGCTGCTGTTTGGGCTGGCCCCACCTGCTTTCTTTGGAAAATGGAAGGGGGTCGACCATGACGTAGGTTTCTATGGCCAAAGGTTCTTTCCTGAATCCTCATATTCAATCTTGACTCTTGACTTTGATTTTATGATTTGTTTCACGTGTTCCAATGTCGCGCTTGTTTGGGCAAATGGATGTAGCTCAGTCACGCTTGGTGCATCGGCATCAAGTAACCCAACACGCGAGTTAAGCCCCCGTTTAGTGATGGAGAATTGGTTTTTGCCTTGCAGAGGAAGGTTTGTGGCTTAAGGACAAGCGCTTTGAGTCCGAAATGTGGGGCTCTAGAAAGCGCTTACCAAGTGGCATGTGTTTGACAAACTTTTATCATGCACCTGACACTGAACCTTCCTGGACGCTGACAAGGGATCTGGATATTTTTTTCTCGGTTGATGGAGATCTTTCACTAAAGGCCATAAAGCCTTGTTCCGTTGGTATCTAGACACTAGCTATGGTGCTTCCAAGATCTCGTAGGTTCTCTAGACTTTAGTCCATCAACAGCTTTTGGTTATTTCTTCCAGACTTGCGAAAGACTCAATGAAGTCTTGGGCATTTCAGCATGGGAACAACCAAACTCACAAGCGTGTGTGGACTGAACGTAGGAGAGAGCCCTGATTGGTCAGGTTGATAGTTGAAGTTCACATCCTGAATGTCAGTCCTGGAGATGGACATTCGATCAAGGTGCCAAACATAGAATCACACACATTTGCTTTCAGGAAGCCAACAGCAATCCATTCCGCTCAGTATGTGCTTCGTACAAGGGCTTCCACTTGTTGCTCGGAGGTCAGGAAGCTCCTGCGGTCGAAAGTTCCCAACGGAACAACCGTCCTGTGTGCATCAGCAATTTTGCTTTTCTATGCTTTTCTAGTGGTTTGATTATTTGGGGTTCTAGGCGGGGCAATATCTAAGCAGGTGGGATTCCAGGTGGACGTAGTGCATTGAGACTCTTCGAAAAGAAGGGATTTTCTTCACTAGAAGAGTGCACGATGTGGGTGCCTGCGGCTTAAGCTGAACATGAAAGTATGGTAGGCACACACGGCAAACCACTTGGTCTCCTGGCTTTTCATCAGGAGTTTCTGTCTTGTGCCAGATCAGTCTTGTGATCATTAGTAATGTCGAGGTCTTTCCTGCAGTGACAGGCTACGCAACAACGGATTGCGAGCAATCATGCACCAGAAAACATGGTAGTCAGGAGGGTTTTCAGTGATTTGTTTGGATCCTTGACATAGAAAACAATAAATCAGTCCATGAAGGTTTAAGAACGCCACAAACTCAGAGCTCCTGAGACAGCCTGCGGCTCCACGCCCCAGCATCCAACACGCCTGACTTGTCACCCGCGCTGGCCGCACCACGGGCTATGGCCGATGAAGGCGTTGTTTGGGGAGTTGAGTACTGAAATGGCCGCTCCTTTGGTCTCCGGATAGAGGTGAAATCCCCTCTTCAAATCCCTGGTATTAGCCATCGCTCTTCGGTTGGAGGCCACCGCTACTTTGTTGGAGGCCATCGCTATTAGGATATCTCTCTCATTTGCCGGGCAAGAAACGGACCAGCTGTCAGAGTGGCCCAGAAAGACTGGTGATCTATCCCCAAATCCTCCATGAGATGATCCCAACGTTGGAAGACGTTCTTGGCACTTGCAGGCGGCTATGGCATGCTATGGCTACCCACATATATATATATATATACATAAAGGATGTTTGTCGAGATAGTTTGTTTTGTTTCCCCCGTGGGTTGAAGACAGACCGCAAAGAATGAACGAATTGAGACACATGACACATCCATAATCACCAGCAGGCAAGCGACTTATGATCATCCAAATCCAAGTTGTGGATGGTAGCTCACACACATTCAACACGCCAATCGATTACTTTTCCACTCTGATCCGTTTTCGCATCGAGCGCAAATCGGAAGTGCAGTGCTGTCAGAGCATGCGGTTTACATGTATGAACAACCTGAACAAACACCAGACCAGTCATGTTGGGACCACAGCAGCAACTCAGAATGATGAGATACCACTTGCAGTTGATGAATGTCATTGGTCCTTTGTTTCAATGGGAATTGACACCAGATCCAGTAATGTTTAGGTCGGGTAGGCCTGTGAAGGTGATACCCGTGCCCCTTCTTCTTCGCCACGTGTTGCAGGCACACAGTCCATGGAGGCGTGCGTGTGCCGTGATGTGGATGGAGATAGCGCTGCAGACGACTATCCTCCCAAAGAAGCACTGAACACCAGAGCTTTTTGTCACTTCGATGTTGGCTTTTGATGGGTTTAGGTGCCAGGATGAGCAGGGCATGGCCATGCATCAGACACCTCTGGTTTGACCGAAAGTTGCCTTAGCCGAATATTCTTGAATCAACTCCAAACCTCTTGGTCCAACGCAGCCCGGGTGACCCGGGTGCAGGTCTAGGCTTCACCAAATCCAGTCTATTTAGCACAGCTGTTCCTACTGAATCACTTTCCTCAACCTGAGAAGTCACGGCAGCCACGTCTTTTGGAGAATAGCTCTGTTGCACCTGGTCTTCAAGATTTTTCAACAGGTGGGTTCTAAGTGTGGAAAGTGTCGGACCGTGTAGGCCGGTAGGAGTTATTTTTGCTTTTCAGTCTCCGATGAAGGGAAACCCATGAAGTGGCCAGCTGCTGGAGTTGGTTCCTGGCTTGTTGCAGCTGGAGTTGGTGTCCGTTTCTGAAATCTGAAAATTGGGCCTCCACAGCTTTGTGGATCGTTTGTTGCGCCTCCAAGGCGTTTGTGGAAACCTCTTTTTTTGTTTGTTTTGCTGTTTTGGTGGACAACAGGGCAGTGGGTCGTTCACTCGTCGCAACGCAGGCCTTGCGGCATGCGTTGCTCCTGGGCAAAATCCACCCGTGTGAAGACACACGGGTTTGTGGGTCTCGGAAGGAAGGAAGGAAAGGAGGGAGGCGGACAAAAAGCGACAGGTCGATAGAATAGAGGCAATATTTTTGTAAACACAAATATATATATATATATATAAATATATATAATATATATATATATTCGATCATCCTAAGAAACAAAATGACAAAGCATGGAATCCTCTCGTTCCCAACCTGTGCCTAACTTGAGAGTCTTGGGTCCGTAAGCACAAGCCAGAACCATTTCTTTACATGTTTTAGGGAAACGAATCTACGTGCTAGAGTTTCATTCATTAGTGCACACGGTCATCCCAATTGACAAAGCACTTCATGTGAGAGGGGACTCGGGGACAAAAAGAGACTCCCGGACTTATGTTGTCAGCAACCAAGGTTGATTTTCAGGAACTTTCACGCAGAAATCCATTGCCCACAGCACTTGCACAGGCAGTGTTTGCTAAATTCACGCTGTCTCTATCTATCGCCCCACTGAAAAGCCCATGTGTCGAGTGGCCCATCCGCTCCAAATCATCCCAGATTCCTTGCTAATTACAATTCCAATTAAAAATTCTTATTGTTACTACTAGTAAGGCACTTGTTTCTAATAGCTTCTTGTTACTACTAGTAAGGCACTTGTTACTACTTACTACTAGCTTCCCAAGTGTCCAAAGTTTGGTTCCCAGATTCTCCCTTCGCTTTCGTCACCCCTCATGGGCGCTACCTCAGGTTGCAGGCTCTCGCAGGCGCGTGCCCGTAGCGCGCGTTCGGCACGCTTGATGGGATGGTTTGACTCCTCGAGGCATTTGCCGAACAATCCCTGCTGTCGAAATGGAGCACCTTTTAGTTGATTGGTTTGGAAAGGAGGTGAAGAAGCAGCGGGGGATATCCATCTGAAGAAGGAAGTAATCAGTAAGCCAACCATGAAGTCTACCTGTGTGGTGGACATTTGTCCAGTCAATGAAGTTGATACATGTTGCAATACCTTTGTTGGAAAGACATGGATATCATGGACATCCGTTGTTCAACAATGATGAACAGCAACAGGACAAAGCAGAACAGGCCCCTTCTGGAGCCAACTCTCTTCTGGAGATGGCACCCAATCAGCGATGCAGCTCACGTACTTTCGGTGTTCCAACTGAGAGAGGTGGACGATGTGTTCTACTAGGAGCAAAGGGCATCGCTACGAACGGAGCGATCGGACGCTACGAACGGAGCAAACGGCGAGGACGCTGGGGGTTCCGACCTGTCCAGCATCGCCTAACGATGCGAGGCGCATACCACAATGGCTCCCTGGAACGGATCTTGAGGGAAGTGATGGATGTCGGGATCCTCAGCGCAGGTTCCCAATATCTCCCGGTTCCGAATCTACATGAAACTACGGTACCCTGATATGTCTTCACAAGGTTC